TAATGTGACGTCAAATCGAGAACACGAAAGTCTGCTTTTCACACATTTTCACTTGTTTGGGAAGGTTGTGGTCGATATTGTCCGAAATATGCCGACCAGGTGTATTGTATGAGGAATGTATGAAGCGTGATACCCTCTTGCAAATTTCGCACGTTGCTACATCCTCCTATAACACACTTAGTCGGCATATTTTCGGACAAAATCGACTACAACCTTCCTAAACAAGCGAAAATGTGTGAAATGCAGACTTTCGTGTTCTCGATTTGACGTCACATTACCCGCTAGAGCCATTCCTCTTTAAACTCGGCCGTGGGGCAAGATGGCGGCTGATTTTCCGTATTTTGACTGGGCACAGACAATTGAAGATTTGAGCAAATAAAAAAATGTTTGCACAGAAATACTCCAAAAAATACGCTTATTTCGTTAAGCGAAAAAAAAATTTTGGGTTTAGGTACACTTTAAAATCAATTAGAAGAAACTGCACTGTCTTAAAGTATGACTTGCTGAAATGGATTTCCCATCTTTTAAGACTTTTTGATGAAACTAATAAATAAATGAGCATTATTCAATCCTTTTATGAAATGTAAGTGCAAAAAGTGCATCACTGTGAAGCTTTATACAGCTTGGTGTTAAATTGTATTAAATTAATTGTAATAAGTCAATTCTTATTTATAGTTCAACAGACAAAGTGCTTTCCTTCAACACAATGTTGCACCAGCCTACCTTCCTCAAGCTCTTTTACAACTGTTTGTGGATATAGAATTCACTGGACATTCCATGCAGTTTGAGCAGAAATTTGGTAAGCTTCTTTATGAAGTAATACTTAATGAAAGATCACAAGACACTAGCCAAACTATCTTGGTGACAAACTACAAACTGAGACAAGTCAGAGTAGACATATGATTAATAGATTTTCATGAAAACCTTAAAGTATATTCCTGCATCAAAATGATGATCCTGAAGCGAGCTGCCAAAATCCATGGCTTTTGCTGCAGATGGGAGACCAGACCATTCTCCCAGACCACTCTCTGAAGCCGGTAAACATAGCCTGCACTATCGAGGTGCTACACTATGGAATAGCCTCTCAATTACTAGCAAAACTCAGACCACTGTTACTGCCTTCAAAGAATCCCTGCTGACATAGCAATTGCTTTTTGTTATAATTTTAACGATCTTTTTATTCTAGGATTAAAGAGCTCTTATTGTATGACAAGTTGTAGTATTTATTTAGCTTTTAGTTTTAGCATTGCTGTTGGGATATAGTATTGGAATATTAGTATTAGCATAAGTTGTATTAATTAGTAGAAATATTACTTGTTCTAGGTTGCTTATGAATGATTATTTGTATATTTAAGTTACACATGGCTCGATGGAAGAGCATATTTTATATGAAATTGATACTGTGTATAAAGTATATCTTATTAACCAAGCATGAGGGCCGTACTGGGAGAATATCGGCCTGAGGTCTTGACAGTATGGACCGAGCGCAGTGAGGTCCGTACAAAAAAGACCGAGGGCCGATATTCTTCCAGTACTAATTTTCTTGCTCATGTCATGTGGTTGAAAATTTTCTCTATCAGGTTACCGTCATCACATGTATTCAGTTTTGAAATTCATGTGGCAGGAAGATGATTACAAAGCTTCCCTGTTAAAGATGGGTGAAGAGGTACAATGCAATAATTAGACAAACATTAGGCACATCAATCAAGATTGTAGTAAATAAATGATGATAATAAAATAGTGATGACAAAAATGGTAATATTGATGAATGCCATGGTACGAGGCTGCATAAACATGAACTAAACCTCTAACTGATTAAGAAGAAGTAGGTGTGTGGTGATGATTTTGCTTTCATGTATTTTAGGCTGCTGATGAAAAGAAGAAGAAAACAGCTATTCCATTATTTCTTCGCTTCCTTAATCTGTTGATCAATGATTCTATATTTCTGCTGGATGAAGCTCTTCAGGTATTTCTTATTTAGGCTGTACGCATGAAATAAAAGATACTTAATTTTGGAATTTGTTGGAGCATCTTTGACTTTTTGTTTTTAAAGTTACAGACTGAGATACCTTACTTTTTTTCTGAAGCTGTTTGAAAAATTTTGGAAATCAAGATGATGAAAAGCGGGAATCTTAAGTGTCAATGTTCTACATTCTAGAACCACAGATAAAATGATTCAGACAAAGGGAGAGAGAAGATTAGGGTGTAGTCTCAGTCTGTTTTATGTGTATATATCAACAGTATTGTTTATTCTTCATATATATCCAGTTTTGGCATAGTAATGATATAAATTGTCATTTTTGTTTTTTAGTTCATGGCAGCTCTGAAGAAGCTTCAAGCAGAGAAAGACAGTGGAGAGTGGGAGAGTTTATCAGAGCAATCACAACAACAGGTACGAAAGCTCTTTCTGGTATTCTCATATTTCTTGGCTTTACTCTTAGAGTTTTACTAAGACAGCTAGTTTATCTATAGAAATTTAGGCTTAAGTTCCTTAGGGGCATATTATCCCCTTTCATTTCCCAGAAGTGATTAACATGTAACTTCTCCCCATAATATCCATACATTATCCAGTAAACAGGTAATGAGAATACTCAAACTTACTACGTAGGTATGTGTAGAAGTTGTAATCCTGATCTTACACCAAATTCTTATAACTAATTTAGAAGGGAATGTCTAGCAGCTAGAGGGGAGAATTAACAATCAGATCTTGGGAGTTAAAGGGTTAATCTTCCTCTCACTCCTTTAAGATGGGGGTGAGTGTAACCTTTACGGCTACATGGCTAGCCACATGGTAGCCACATGGTAGCCAATGGTAGCCAATGGTAGCCACATGGTAGCTAATGGTAGCCAATGGTAGCCACATGGTAGCCAATGGTAGCCAATGGTAGCCAATGGTATCCATACATTATCCAGTAAACAGGTAATGAGAATACCCAGACTTACTAGGCACATGTAGAAGTTGTAATCCTGATCTAACACCAAATTCTTATAACTAATTTTCAAGGGAATGTGTAGCAGTTAAAGGGGAGAATTAACAATCCAATCTTGGGAGTTAAAGGGTTATTCTTCCTCTCACTCCTTTCAGATGGGGGTGAGTGTAACCTTTAGGGCTCATTTAATGAAACACACAAACGTGCCTTAAGCATGTTAAAGAACTGTTTTACCCTGATTGGGAATACAACGACCCATACCAAGACTACAACAGATGTTAATGAAGCGACTTCAAATCTAAAAGCACGTGGGAATAAGTCACGTGATATTACGTCCGCAACGAAACAACCGGAAATGAAAATAACAAAACGGAATTAAAATGGTAGCCACAGTGAGGGACACACTTATTTTAAAAGTGTTAGCTTCTTCTGAATGCTGTCCACCTTTTATGTAAATTGCGTTGAGTATACATTTTGTGTTTTTGGAAAATTTAGGGTTTTATCCATAATGGAGTCTTTTCAAAGCTATAGTGCACTGAACAAATAAAGTAGAGAACAAAATTCAATGGGCCAAATGAGTTATAGAGTTTTTGTACAATAGGTGGGGGAAAAGGCTATTTCTTTTTAAACGTGAAGCTTTGATAGGGGGCCAATAAGTGGTTTGGCAGGAAATTTTTTCAGGTAGGGTTCTTCATATCATAATGAAAGATTGTTACTGGGAACAGTAATGTTGCAGTAAAATCAAAGATAATTTCTACGCTGATTAAAACATGGTTGTCCTTACAGAAGCAGCAGGAGTTGCAGCACACCAGTGGAATGGCTCGCAGTCATAACATCTTAGCCAATGAGACTGTCCATGCACTGAGTTACCTAACAGCTGACATCAAGCAGTGAGTAATTAGTTTTTAGTCATCTCGTGATCCCAATGTGGTTACTATTACTGAGGGGCCGGCATACACTTTACACAAAGCTGACCAATCTAATTAAATTATACTTAAATGGTAAAAGGTAAATGGTCTGCTTTTGTAAGGGAAAAGCTTGGAAAGAAAATTTTTGCATTGATCACAGAATGATGTTTACAGGCAGAAAACCCAACAGTAGTACCAAAAACTAAATGTCACTTTTCTAAACTCTACAGTAATCATTGATCAGAATCATCCATTATTGGTTGGGCATGTGGATGCAATTTTGGGATAGGGGGCGGGGGTGGGGGGAGTAGAATTTGAATGAGCCATTACCTACAAAAGTTCAAATTCTGAAAGGGTTCAAACTGATTGATTGACACATTATACAATAGGAGTATTTTTGTTCAAAGCTCTGGATAAGGCAAAAGGGGGTTACTGATCAAAAGATGATTTTTTTTTTTTATGTCACAGACCATTTCTGATAGGTTGCATGGTAAGAAGGACTGCTGATATGTTAAACTACTTCCTTCTAAGACTGGTTGGACCAAAAATGGGTGAACTGAAGGTATGATACAAGTTCATTAACAGGAATTCAATTTCATTTGGGGTTGATATACAATTCTGTTTCATTTTGTAATTTTACCAATGTTGGTCAGTTATGAAACTTAAATTAAGGACTGAAAGCAAAGTGATGTACTTAAATGTTCTTTAAATTTGGTTTTATGATCTGAGTTGATAATTTAAATTGGGCAGTGTAAGGAGTTTCTAAAAGTGTCATTTCAAGCTGGTAAGCCATTCATCAGAGCGAATGATGAAGGGCTAATGTTTGAAATGTCACATAAGAAACTCTTTGTGGCAGCTAGCTAATTTATATTATCAACTCAGTTGATAAAATCAAGTGAAATTATCTGGTAATTATTTCCTCATCAGCACTGCATCACAGTTTCTTTAGAAACTTACGTCCTTTACTTATTTTTTTGTTTGACTTACTAGGTAAAAAATCTCTCAGAGTTCCATTTTAAGCCTCAGATGCTGGTTTCTGATATTAGTGACATATACCTCAACCTTGGTGAAGAAGACTCCTTCTGCAGGGCAGTTGCCACAGACAAGAGGTCATACTCACCCAATTTATTCAAACAGTCAGAGAGAGTTCTTAAGTAAGTGGTAAAGAATGGTCGGTAGTTATTTCATAGTTATCCATTTAATTGTTCATGGATGTAATCATTACCAAAGATCTCAAAAAGATTACAATGTATTGCTTTCATTTAAATTTCCAGATTGATTGGAAGACCATCTTCAGTAATCTTTAAACTTAATGAACTTGCGGATCGTGTCCATGAATTTGCTCAGCAAGACGAAGAAGATGATTTGATAGAGGTATGTAACTCCCCCACCTCATGATATATGGAACATGCAGAGGACACATGTAGAGGTCAGGGTTCGACACTAACAGTAGCCAACTAGCCATAGACCAGTAGAAATTCAGTTTTGGCCAATGCTTTTTTATTTCCACTGGCCAGTAGGGCTAGCAAAAAAAAACTGAAATTATTGTAACATCTAACTTGTCACCAGCCACTAGGCTAATAAGTTGAAAAGTTAGTGTCGAGCCCTGGAAGTCATGTGTGACATGTCCAGGCCCGTGCACTGCCAGGCTCCTTGCTTTCAAAAGGGTTTGATGCAAGGAAAGAGGAAGGAAGTTGTTGAAGTCTAACCCTGGCCATGAATGAAAAAAGACTATTTACTTTTGATTAAGTGGGGATCTAGGACTCTCCATTTCCTCTCACACTACAAACACCATTTTGTGGTTTTGTTTCAGCCTGTAAATGTAAAATATATTTCCCATCACTGTGCACAGAATATAAACCTAGACACACTAAGACAGCCTATATGTTGTTCGATTAATTTGTTATGAAGAGTTAAATCTTTTGTTAGAGTAAATGTTGATTTTTTTTTTCTCTCTGTAGCCACCAGAAGAATTTCTTGATCCAATAACTAACTCACTGATGACTGACCCTGTGATTCTAACTACATCAAATAACATCGTGGACAGATCTACCATTTGCCGTCATCTCCTGAGGTATGTGTGTAAGACATGCCGATTGGGGGAAGTGGACTTTGGGTCAATATATCTGGGCTTGGTCCCTGTGTGGGGAGGGGTGAGGGGGTTAGGAGGTGGGGGTGGGGGGTGAGGGTCTCTAAGGATTTTCAATTGGTACTAACAAATTGTCCATAAAACCTGACAAAATGGTGGGAGGTATAACCTGTGATAGACCCACATCCCATCCTAGGGGATTAGCAATTGTGCTCTGAAAACCTGGAAATTAACCTTTTACATCCTGCCATTAGTGTGAATTTTCTCCACACTGTTCTCTATAAATTTCCTAAGGCGCTGGCAAGGAGAATTTACATAACAATCAGGAGCTTAAGTGTGATTCAAGGGTGATACTGTAAGGAGAAATAGAAGATAGCTAAAGGGTTAAGCTTCTGTGCTGCTGGCCGCTGGTTTCTAAGGTCAATGTTACCTTACAGAGCTCGACACTAACTTTTCAACTTACTAGCCAAGTGGCTGGTGACATCCTAGATGCTACGACAATTTCAGTTCGTTTACTAGCCCAACTGGTTAGTAGAAACTGAAAACTACCAGCGGAAACTGAATTTCTACTAGTCTGTGGCTAGTGGGCCACCGTTAGTGTCAAACCCTGACCTTACCTTTGGTGAGGTGTGTGGTCGATCTTGAAATTAGCATTGAAATTTTTAACCAATTTAAAGGATTTAAAGTCTTTAACTGCCAGAGATTATGTAAGGTAAAATAATTTCTTCACAGTTAACATTGTTACATTTATTTATCAAAGTGATGATGATGAGAGTGACCAAATTTGGCTTATTCTAAATTGTGATCACTTATTGTGTGCTGACATGGTAGAGGCCTTCTCTGTCTGAAAAAAAAAATGGCAGATGATGTTTTTTGTTTGATGAGGCCTCTCATTTTTCATTGCAGTGATCAGAAAGATCCATTCAACAGGAGCCCTCTTACTCTTGACATGCTGAAGCCACATGATGAGTTACGCACTAAAATACATGCATGGATGGCAGAAATGAAAGCTCAAGGGAAACGCTGACGTTAAGTGTCAGTGCATGGTCCTCCTTGATAGGCTTCCATTTCCTTTTGACCTCTGATTCTGAGTTTGAGTCAGTCAGGGAGGACTGTGTGAAGATTGAAGAGAAGTTTTTTGGGATCCTTTTGATATTTGGATGTTCTGCTCATCTGGGACTATTGTTGTTAGGACTTACTGTAGTTCTTTTTTTTTTTTTTTTTTTATGTTTTCTTTTTGCAAGAATTCAGTTGGTTGTGGGGTGTAAATTAAAGAGGAGGGCTCTGGTTCTATGTAACAGGCTTACTTTTTTGGGTACTAAGCTAGCTGAAATATTCCAATACGTTTTCCGAATCTAAAAATTTTCAATCAAGGGTTTCAAAGCCAATCTTTACCACCTGTAGTTGCTGTTACGGTTTTGGGGTCTATGATTATTACTGGCACCAATATAGGCCACAATGCAAGGTATTAATCAAGGTCTTTGGTCTGGGGGAGTCTGTGGAAAGTATATCACCTCTCTCTCTCTGTTAAATATAAAGCAAAACAACAAAGGAGGCCTCCTGATGAAAGTTGGAGGCTTGTGTAAGAGTCACCTCCTGGAAGATCTTGTAAACACCTCTCATAGTACTTTTCTGTTGGCAGGCTGGTTTTTGCTGGTCATTGTAAACCTAGAGAGGTTGCAGTGTTACACTACCATTATCCAGGCATAGAAATTCATCAGATTTGTAAATATGAAAGAATAATAACCCTGATTTAAGAACTTCTGATTATCACCCCACCTTTTTCCTTACAGAAACTTGTTACCCCCAACCCCTCCTCCACCCATTGGCGGTATTTTGAGTTAGTTTTTGGCCCTATTTTGTCCCGCAGATGTTGAGATCTTTAATGGTTACACGATAAGAAACCATCATTGTACTTATAGACATGCTCTGTCCTATTTGTTTGAATGATTGCTATCTGCTAAAAGTTTATTGCAGATGGCAGGATGAGTAAACAAAGGGCACATTTACTAACATTGCTCTTTTTGAAAACATTTTCAGAAACAATTTTCCAAGGAAAAGTGAAAAATAGTATAACGTTAATGTAATGTTAAAAAAAAACCCTTTCACCCTTAAATCTCTCTGGGAAGAATTTTGAGTTAAATATTATGTAAGATTTGATTATTAAATGCTATACTACATAAAGCGAGCTTGCATTTAGTATAATAAGAATGTATAGAAAAACCAAGCTAAATGGAAAATGTAATAAAGAGGCAGAGTTTAAAAAAGAATATAGTGTAACTAATAACTGTAAGCTGTTTTTTAAGAGAAACCCAGGGTGAAATAAATGACTAGACTGCTTTTTGTTATGGCTACAAAAGCTGCCTGTGATTAGTTTTCTCTGACTGAGGTTAGAGAGTTTGTGGTGCAAGATGAGATGAGTTCAGTGGGAGACTGGACAAAACGGGAAATGTGTGCACTGCAAGTACCTCCCGTTGTTCCATACAAAGCCTTAGAAAACTTTTCTAAGGCTTTGTAAGGGACAACGGGAGGTACTTACAGTGCACGCATTTCCCGTCCTGTCATGGAGATACAGATGAGGTGGTAAAAATGCTCGTTTGACTTCCCATTGTCTTACACCACCCTCACTGATCATTTCAGAAGGGTTGGAATAACAAAACAAGCAGAAAGTCAAGGATTTGATACCTTTCAAAAATGAAAAGAAAGTTAAAAACACCATAGATGATACAAAATTGAAGAAACAGCAAAGTTATTTAGGAAGAAATTAATGATTAGATTACTTTTCTGGTAAGCTCCTGCTAATGCTGTGTAGAAAGGAAGTGGAATACTTAAGATGAAAATGAAAATTAAGACGACTGAGGAGAACTCCAGTCAATATGTTGATAGTTAGTGACAAGCCCATGCCTCACACCCCATTTTTGTGTCTGTTAGCTTCCCAACTCCATCCTCCAGTTCCAAAATCACCAGTCTCTAAAGACTGTTGAGAGGGTGGCAAAGGGTATTTTCATGATTTGTGAAGGGCCTATTTTTTTCCCGTGAAACGTGAAATGGCTTGTCTTTTTCACGTGAATGGTGATTTCATTTGTAACCATGAACCGTGATTTTCCAAAATAATTATCCGTGAAATGAGAAAGAAGTATTTAATTCGTTGTGAACGGTGATTTTGGATGTAGTTTCGAAAGTAATTAACAATGACCGTGAATTGTGAAAGGACCAATTTATTTTCCGCGAAATGTGATCTTGAACCCCCCTCCCTTTACCACCCTTCATTAAAGGGTTGGATGGGTATAAATGGTTTCCAAACACTCTTAAAAGGTTTGCAAGCTCTACTCAATACAAAATGTAAACATTTATTAAGGTTACAGGTTGAACAAAATAACAACTACAAAACTTTTGGTCATAAAACACAGTTTTCATTTTTTTGGCACTTAACTGATTCGTCCCATGCAGTAGAGGTATATTCCTCTGCACTCTTAAGACCTTTCCAGCACCCGTTTTGTTTTAAGAAGTCACACAATGAAGCGATTTAGAGATGTCACAAAAACAAGGATTGCGTGACATTCCGAAGAAAGGCTGAAGAAACAATTCATTAAAGTGGTTTTACAGTGGCAGTTGTAAAAAAGCCGAGGACACATGGCCCCACATAGGAAGGGTACAAAATTAAAAAAAAGTTCCCTGTTGCGTGAGTTATTCACAGTGGCTTATCAATCGTCGTCTTTCCCGTGCTTGATTATTTTTGTGAATTTCACATAATTGAAGTTGCCTTTGGAGTCTACTGGAGCCCCGTGCATCATTTCGTCAATTTCTGCATCGGAAAACCTGTTGAGTGCACGAAAGAAAGAGTCAAGACTTAACTAATTGTGAAAACAAACACCGCAATTTACAGAATCTAACGAAGAATGTTAAGCATTTGAGTGTCCTAAACATATGCCTTCTCAAAATGGGTTCGCTTTGATTGTGCTGATGTTGAACAGAGCAGGAAACTTTTGTAAGCCAAATCATGTTTTGAAGAGATGTGCTCGTAAAGCTAATAACAGGATTTAGATAAAAAAAAAATTGCGTTTAATTTTTGATATGTTAATTACATTAATTCGTGTTCGATTGGAAGGTCACAGTTTGCGATAACGCATTCAGGTTTGTTAGGACAAACAAACAATTCGAAGGTGGCTCAAAAATACCACATCCATTCGAAAATCATAATTTTATGGAGACGAGCATAATGAGAGCTAAGAAGTGTTCCAGATAGCATCTGACACTTTTGACAAACGAACATTTAAGAACAATAAAGACAAACATATTTCAATGATACGGTGTTGTGAATAAGGATAATTGTTCGTGTCTGTGACAAGCATTCTAATCTTCAAATTGATAACATCTGTTGCCCAAATTTCGAATTTTCCCAAGGAAAACATTTATTATAACTCGCAGCTTGAATTTTTTTAGGGAGTGGAATTGGCTATTAACACTGGCGGCGGGTGATTCTTGAAAAACAACCAAATCAACTGCGATTAATTACAAATAACAGTATGTGCACGTAGAGTAAAGGTTTTAAACCTTTGAAGGGTTCCTTGCACGACACAATAGAGAAGTTCAATTCGCCCAATAAAACTCACGCTGGGAGATAACCGAGAAAAATATTGTAAGACATATCAACAAAGATTACTATACCTGTCGCCTAAAGTTTGCAGCAGATCGACTAATTTATCCTCTTTCATCGTGCCAGACTGCTCCTCATCGAAGCATGCGAATGCATTCCTTATAACGTCCTCTGGGTCGGTTCCATTAAGTTTCTCTCCAAAGAGAGTCAAAAACATGGTAAAGTTGATGGCGCCATTGGCGTCGTTCAACATGTCCTCCACGTATTCATCTGGAACATCTTTGCCCAAAGAGGCAAACATATCTTTCAGGTCAGCCGCGTCAATAAAGCCGTCACGATTTTGATCGATCATATTAAATGCCTCTTTGAATTCTTGAATTTGCGATTGATCAAACATAGCAAATACATTGGAAGTCGCTCTCTGAGCCCGCTTCTTTGAGGATTTTTTCGTTTTGACTTTGCTGGACATTTTGTTGCTGTATTACTAACCCCTGCAGAGAAACGTACCGATTGAAGCTTCAGGCAAAATGTGAAAATGACAGTGCATTCATTAGAATTTGGGATGGTTACATGTTGGTTACACCCAAACGTAAGCAAACCAAATATGGAAAACGATAATTGTCTTAATGAATTTTTCCGATAGCGAAATATTTCACTCCTCCGATGTCGCTCTTTCCCAAAATTTGAATTATAACGCATCTGAGGTCCATGAGCTGAGCTTGATTCAAATTAAAGATAGTTTTTCACTTCGCTAATAAAGAGAATGAAGATATTGTACCTAGTCAAAGTGACGCAACACCCTAACGCTTCTTATCTCCCTGGCAACTTTAGCTTAGTCGCGTCACGCAACGAACTCTCTTTCCCGTCAATGGCAGTGACGCGCTATGGGTAACCAAAATCAATCTTGGGTCAAAATTCATGGGTATTTTGACTTTATAAGTATTTTCGATATTTCAAAACTTTGATTAGCGTGAAATACTTAAATTTTGGAAATATAGTCGCAAATGATTTGTCACGTGTGTACAGTGGAAGGAACAGCAGTAATTTCGTGCGTTGTACACAACGGTGACTTTGACTTCTGAGTTTCATCAAAGGTTTCTTTCTCTGCTGGTTGCAAATTAAATCGCTAGGTACGTTAAGTAGAGAAACCAACGCTGGCAGAGACTTCTTCAACAGATTCACGCCAATCACAGCGTTTTTGTTTGATAGAAGGCCAAGCGAAGACGCGAAAGCACAATCAAAAGTGGCCTCTGGTTTCCTTCTTCACAAACACTGCCAATTAACCTCTAACCAGCCTGGTCAGACACAGTAAGTTTTTGACAAGTGTTATCTTCATATCAAGAGTACTTCGCTGTATTCTGCTTTTGAAAATATCTTAAAGATACCGAAACATCATCTAATCCATTTTCTGTACTTCTTGGTGTTCTAGATTCCATGATTTAAGTCTGATATTATAGCTTTCCAGACTATCCGCTTTTATTTTCGCTTTCGATGTTAGGTTCGTTATGAAAACTTGTTATTGTCTGAATTCGTTAGCTTTATTATTTTCTGGACATCAGAAGATATTTAATTTAAAATTTCAATACGGAAAGGACTTGAAACTCCAATAATTGAAGTTACAAAAGACAAATGGACCTAAACCGGAAGTGGAGTACCAAACTTCCCATTTATTTCAGTCCCCAAATTTATATTCCCTTACTTTTAATTTGCTTTTCTTTGTTTTTTGTTTTTTGTTGTTGTTTTTTTACATGTTCGTCTCTTAGAAAACAAGGGCTCGAGTAAAAAATATCTTTAACCTTGTCTTTGCTTATCCTAGGATGTCTTTGCCTGCAGCGGTCGTGAAAATCAACATCAACGAAGTGCAAAATTTATTGCGGCAAGATGGAGTGGACGTGAATGCTAGAGATAGCCATGGTAATACGGCATTACATCTCACAAGTAATAAATCGATAGCTTCGCTTTTGATAAACGCAGGTGCCGATCCAAATCTGCAGAACGAAGATGGAGACACCCCTCTTCACAGATCGTTTGTTCTGGATCAAGTCATGTCTACAGAGTTTTTATCAGATCATCGCAAATTTTTAGAATTCGTCACCGTGTTGTTAGAGGCCGGAGCATCCCCAAACATACAAAACAAATATGGTTATAACAGTCTTCATTATTTGTTCGTCTACGGTGGTATTGCAGGGCTGAACTTTGAGGCCTCTTTGATTCACGAGTTTATCGCGCTCTTTCTCCGATTCAGTGTGGATGTGAATATGCCAGATTTTGAACGTTGCACTCCGTTGCATCACGCCGTGAAAGAACCACATGTGCTCAGTGTTGAGCTTCTCATGAGATCAGGGGCTCAAATTGATGCTCGAGATTTCCGCGGAATGACATCGTTACAACATTTGTTTCATACCGATGATGAAGAAATGATCCAGCTTTTACTGCGAAGCCGAGCTGACGTGAACGCACAAGATTTAGATGGACGTACAACTCTGTCTACAGCAACAGAGGTTGGAAACAATGTCATGGTCCAATTGCTTTTAGAGGATCCTCGCATATCCACTGACCTTGCGGACAAGAACGGCATCACTCCTCTCCACCTTGCAGCTGCCTTTAAACGCGTCGATATCACGGAGATGCTTATCCAAGCCTCTGCCGACGTGAATGCGCTCGATTATCTTAACGCCACCCCTCTTCATTATGCTGCCTATGGAGGAACACCAGAAATTATCACCCAGTTATTAGAGGCAGGTGCAAACGACAAGCTAACCGACAGTGCTGGCTGGCTTCCAGTTCAATATGCCTTGTCCAGGCACTATTACCACACTGCGTTGAGATTTGGCAGAGAATTTCTCGCTGATGTTGCGAACAATGCAACTCGTGATGTGACAGTTTCAGGTACTTCAGTTGATGACATCATCGCTCAAAGTCTTCCAGCCGACGACATATTTACCATTGGTGTCGCTGCGTCAAATGTATACTCGAAAGAGTTTGACTCGTCCGTGGTACCCCGTGATTTAGTGGAGTTTATGAGAGAGAAATCTGCTGGGGATATTCCTGGCTATCTGCGCGACATGCAAATGGTAGCAGGAGTTGGACTGATACCGAAAGATATGGCAGAAGTTGACACAATGAGACAGAGTGTTGAAGATTTCATTACTAAGTGGGTAGAGGAAATAGCGAAAATTGACGTAAGGTTCAAAGGCAATTTGATGCCTTCTGGGAGTGCTTACGAAGGAACAAAGGTAGAGGATCCCAACGAATTTGACTACATGTTATGTCTCGAAGAGCTTGGCCAAATGTGCTCAGTCGCGTTTGATGAAGACACTTTGTACAATGAGGTCATAATTCACAAGAGATTTAATGAATCAGGAGTGTATGAAGACTTTTTTGACGGGGGTCAATTGGACAGTGGTTATGTTATGAGCAAGTTTGTGGATAGTGCCAAACGGGCCTTAGTACGCCTTGCAGACCACGCCCTTGCACCACGAGAGATGTACGTTGAAGGCCTTACCGAACACAGCTTAGTTGAGGATACATGGACACTCTCAGGAACTGTCACATGTAATCTGAAGTTAAAGTGGGCTGGCTTGAATTACAAGCAATTGGTGGTTACAGTGGACCTGGTTCCTGCTATTCCAGTGTTGCATTGGCCTCTCATAGCACGAAAAACGAGCAGATTATTGACAGATGATATCAAATCTCGTGGCTGTCATTTAGTTCCAAAAAGTGGCTATTGGAGACTGTCGTTTTCCTTGGCTGAGAGTCTGATAATGGCCAGCCTATCAGAGGAACAAAAGTTTGCGTTTGTTGGCGCCAAAATTGTTCTACACCCAGCTGTGTCTTGCAAGATACTTGTATATGATGATGATCGCGTCTCTGTTGACGAAAACAAAGAAAAATATGGGTTTCCAGAGCGAGACGAAGACGACTTCACCGGTGATGTGCACCTCACCAGTGATGTGCACCTCGCCAGTGACGCGCATGCGCATGTGCACTTAAAGGAAAGAGATTTTGACCAATTGCAAAATAAGTGTGCGGATGCCGAAGATGGTTCTTGCTTGACAATTAAAGCTGATGAATCTATTGCCACCACTGGAAGCGGGATTTCGAACGAGGCGCGTAAATTCCCCACGATGCCAGTACAGTCTACCATACTAGCCAGGGTTGCTTTGTCTGAGCAAGGTGACATTGTTACAGTCTCAAAATTGTCAAATGCTCAAGATTTCGAACCATCAAGTCGAGTAACGTTAAGAATTGTTCACGATCCAACGATCAACCCAGTTGCAGAACACCCACAAAAAGTTGATGAACAAGAAATTGAAGGAGATTCACCCCAAACTGAAGACAGTTATGGGCACGTCAAGACACTTCTTCCTTTCGACATTTTGTCGACTTACTTGATCAAGAACTTGTTTTTTAACTGCATTGAAGAAGACGCAAACAAATCAAATGGGAAGACAGTCACAACAGGGCGGATTTTTAGTAAACTGATGGAGTTCTTGAGGAAATGTCCTCCAATTCCATATTATTTTATCCCAAATCAATATTTCTCAGGACTCGATAAAGATTCTTTATTAGAAGATGATGGACGTGATATTGTGTTAGTAGCTACAGTGATTAACTCAATACTAAATGAAGAAGACGTGGAAGAACACAATTAAGTGTTATCCGTGACGTCATTTTTCAGTATAGGAATACCCCGGGTGGCATGAGTGAATTTCCTGTAGTTTGTACAAAATGACAAATAACTGACTGACAGTATTGCAATAAATTTTCCGTGAAGCCAGAGTATATAACGACAAACTATCGTTTTTCC